AATCATGGTAAAGCAGAGCGAAACTATACCATGTGACATAGAACCATTCTTTATTTATTTAAACAAAAAAATTGAAAATGCAAACTTTTACCGACCTTGAACTCGTGACGATCGATCGGCGGACAATGAGCATTTCTCTTTTTCCAAAACCCAACAAGCAGCCTGTTTGTGCAGAAACTTATTCTCATTATTAATACTAACTTTGAAAAAAGTATGAGAGAGTTCTTGTTTTATATCGCTAAATAATCGCAGCCCACGATTTGTCGATGTACTAACATTATTTGTCACATCGAGATTATCGTTTAATTCGAATTCTTCATCACTATCATAATCATTTGTAACATTATCATGTGCATCACAATTTGTTTCATCGTCTGACTCAATATCTGAGTTTACATTTAAGCTGTTGACGACATTAAGTTCTGTAGACCAAAATACTTCTAATTCCCGTGAAATAATGTTACTCGTTTCTTCAATCGATATTATTCGTCCATTTCGTAAAAGTTGTTTGATTTTCAATGGATCAAAAAGTTTAGTCACATATTTATATGCGTCAAGAACCCGGTCTTCAATAGCCTTTTTTGAAAGAATAGTTGTATTTAACGAATTTGAACTATTTTTGGATGTTCTAGATAATTTATGATGTTGAGGAAAACGAAGATCATTTTGACTTGTATTACTTTTGATGTTTTGTAATACTGATAATTTATTAATTCGACTAAGAAATTGTGCAACGGTAAAATTGACACCTCCTGAGAAAGCACTGGATATTGCTCTAGCTGATCGGAATGTACCTTCGCAGGTTTGAGAATTTTGTAACCATATATTTAGAGCTTCATGTGGAAGTTGTCCTTCAGAGACAAGTAGAGCAAGATAAACAAGGCAATGCGCATTGATTTCAACAGAAAAATGTGTTTGATATGTGATAAAATACTGACGTCTTGTTTGACATTGCTCCTTAATAAATATCATATCAAAACGAGATACTTGTGAGAAAATTAAATCGAGTTCTTGTTTATCCATTGCATTAATCCATAAGCACCATAAACGAAAAATAAATACCGAAGTCCACGCATGATATATACGATCCAAAATATTTGTGTTTTTTTCTACATAAGCAAGCCGAACACCTCTTATTGCCTAAAACATGAAAATGCAATTAATAATTATTCTTTCACAAAACTTTAATCAAATAACAGATGACTTCAATCTTATCATTCTTTTTAATAATTAATGAACAGACTTTTAAGATATGTTAAATATCTTTTCATCAACTTTACAAAAGTGTTCAGAGTGTGTTAGTGTTTCACGAAGAACAAAATCATATTCCATGAGTTTCGACAAGCTTGAATCTATTTATTTCAATATATCTCAACAATTTTTTTCCAAAATGAATTCAAATAATTATTAAATTTAAAAAGAATGCAATCAAAAATCTCTTCGTTCTCTTCAGACTTGCTTCTATTACATACTTGCAAATAAATATTTATACCCAATGAATTTGGAATTTTTTCAAGTAAAATCGATACTTTATCGCTAGAAATCTTTTCTGCCGAACTATAATTTTGTCGATCCTTGGGATTTACGTCCGAAACTACCAATAAATGATCTAGTTTTGAATAATTACTGATTATATATAAGAGTGGTTCAATGTTGATTAGTTGATCTCCTAAGAGTAGATGTGCTGTTTCAGAAAGAAGTCTATTGCGCAGCTTTGTACAGATGTGTACTGCATCCTGGAAACAAATATAAAGTTGTTCGTGTTGCATGAAGAACCACGACCAGGTACTTGGAAGATCAACTGCAAATAAATCGGGATGGTCATCATAAGCAAAATTAGCAAAAAATCCAAGGGATATTCGCATTGCATTAAGGTAACGACTATCACAATCGGTTGAAAAGCCGAGAATACGAATACCTTTAGCTTTGCATTCTTGATGAACATGATACCAACGAGAAATAACGTCCGATGATTTAAATTTATTATCTGTTCCATAAGCAGTAAGAAGATATGGCGAGATATTATTAAGTGAGGAAGAAAGCGGTTGAACGAGGCAAGCGTTAAGCAATTTTGCTCTCGGTATATTAGAATACCATTGTTCAAAACGAGTAAACGAATCAGTGGCATAGGATTTGGCGATGGGCAATCCATTTTTGTCGAGAGGAAGAGAAAAACCAACAAAACTATTTGACGTTGTATCATATGTTACTTTAGGAACGACCGCAGTAGCGTCTTCGGCAATAAAACCTAATGTTGATTGATTTGAATTAAAATAATTACGAACGCCGTCATAATTAAAGAGTCCTTCACTCAGATGATTGTCTGAAGCAACAATAAATGATTGGATAATTTGCACACTTGGAAGGAATGCAGGAATGTTTAATCGAACGAATTCATAGGCGGTACGACCCCCAAGTATGTATAAACTAGTTGCAAATTGACGTACGATGGTTTCATAACGAAAACCTCTTTCTTCAGTAATTGAATTTCTAATCATATTATTTAATATAATATTTAAGAATGTAAAATCATATTTGCTCTTCACAATAAGCTTTGAATAGGTAATAAGTGTTTGAATAAACGGAAATTTTTGAAGAAGATATTCCGGTACAATCAAATCAGAAGAGTTATTTGAATTTCGGTGAGTAGAAAATGTCGAATATTGTTGATTAAGAGTATGAAGAGTGTTAAGAAAAGTTTCAACCTTGTACACCAATCCTTTCTTTAAAATAAAACGACCATCATTAAGTAAGATTCCTGCTTTTCTTTTTAATGGAATAAGTTCATCTGAATCAAATTCGAGAAAAGCAAAGATATTACTATTTTCAAGAAGACACTCGACCGATGAGATATCCTGTGACTGCATAATCTCAAGAGCAACACTACCACATTGCTGTTCGATTAAATTATAAAAAGATTCGTCCTGAAACGACAAGACTTCTTCCGTAAAGTTAATATTAGATAGAGTGCTTGACATATGGAAAAATTTTCTAAAAAGAACAATAAAGTGAAGACAATTCGGATGAAGAGATTTAAAAAAGACGAAAAATCAAATATTCTTGGAAGAAACATTTATCAGGCTATTCTGAGTGGCGATAGATTCTTTCCTATGTATTTATTCCTATCATCCACACATATGGCATGAATAATATTCACCACTCGTTCATTATTACAGTTGGCGCTTATTCTTATTAAAGGTCATTAGGTCATCCTTAGTATCATTTTTAAAACTCTTTCAAATAAAACAAAATCAGTTAGAATTCAATATTTCGTTTATTTTCTAATAAAGCATATACATCAAGTTTTTTCACAATAAGGGCGATAAAAAAACAGATAATATCAAACTAAATAATATAACTTACAAATAAAAACGAGAACAAACTACATGACTTTAAACCAATTATTTAATTATTTTTTTGTTTTCTTTGCCGAAAATAAACTGATTTTCGTTTGTTTTCGTTTCTTGCGCGTCGTTTCAACTGATCGAAGTAAAGTATTTACAGCCGTTGTTGTTGAATTCAGAGAAATTATCGGGTTGTCAATATTATCATGAGTAGCATCACTATCAAGTGCCGTGTTTTCATCGATATGATTGATCTTTAATTGCATCATGGAACATGGATTTTCTTTCGTCAAATGACGAATATAGTTTGACACCTAAACAAACAGAAGAAATCACTACATATTATTACGCACAATAACCCACATAAACAAGAAAAATAAAGAAAACTCAACGAAAATAGTACAATGCTGATCTTAAGTTGAAGTCCAAAGATGAATTATTATGATTTCAAACAGATATGAATCTATATGAATCGACTAATTCAATCAGCATGTGACGTAAATCAAAATAGTCTTCGATCCAAGATTTGAAAACCACAGCAGAAACATACAAAAATTGTATCATTACTATTAATTTATAATCAATGAAACATAATGGATGGGCCAGATTAAACGAAACAGTTTTGTTTGCTGTTTTTGAAATACGTAAGAATCGTTTTGAACCTCGATTTGAGACTCACTCGATAGAAAATTCTTTGCTCGACAAAATTATCATCTTTCTTGTTCAAACAAAATTTCGTTTCATCGCACAGTTTGAAAAACATGAATATCTATTCAATTGTTCTGCTGGACTTTCCTACTTTTTCCATCCATTTATTAATTTGTGTAGGCCTATACTTATCAAGTGCGATGCTAAAAGTAAAGTATTTCGTATCAGTTGATATAGAATTCTTTACTCTATCTTTTTACGATCTTTTCAACGTTGCTAGTGCCATCGTTCAGGGGAAAACGGTTGGACTAACACCTGTTAGTATTTTTTAAAGCATTTTACAAAATCATATTTTCCAGAAGCAGACTTTATCTAATAAGGATTTATTCTCATGCAGTCGCATGAACGATTTAATTCTGAACAAAGTGGTGTAACTGTTAAGTTCAATAATTCAAAATTTTCTGTTGTTTATAATTAAAAACAGAATAGTACCATATGCCTTTCAAAAAAGAATTTTCCCTATGTTTTCACATATTTTTGTTTCAAAAATTCTTCTCGCAAAAATTTTCATTATAATTCTGAAATATATATAGATGATGCTGAGTTTTGCCAAGAATTTTGTTGGCTATTTGAAATTTCATCCGAATCCTTATTAAAAGATTTTTTATCATTTTAACGTTTTATGGTCGTCACAATTGAAGGATTAAATCTTAATCTTTACAATTTTACGTTGACAGAAAAAGCTTTATCGGAAAAGAAAGTGATAGGATTGTAGCGTAACGAATTCTCTACCGAATGAGTCTAAAACTTGACTTAAAAATGACTTTCTCGTGTCCCAAAAAAAGTAAACAGAAGTGTCCCATTTTATCTATCCCATCTGTTACTTCGTTTCGCACTTTCTTACGGAGCATATATGGCTCTTAACTAGATATTCGATAATACCCATACGATTGATAAAATATCTGTGATGATTGAGATTGATGTTATCAGATATTGATATTGGTTGGCAAAACTTGATACTGAATGCCGATATCGATAGCAATGATGCTAATCATTAAGGATGATGTTAATTTTAGCACGTATTCTAGTCACTCTCTTCCATTTCTTCCTTACATATAAAGTTTTCATAAAATCTCCAATATCAATTAGTAGTATTGCCATCAAATATTCACAAAAATACTCAACAAAAATCACCATAATCTTTTTTTTATTATACGACCCATAGAGCTGATTTTGATCTTCTAGATAGATAAAAAGTTAGTAATAGTTCTTCTACAAAGCAAGACAGAAGAGGATTAGTTAGAAGACGATCCAAAATTAATATCGTCTAGAATAATAACAAATATAATGTATTCCAGATTGATACTGTCATTCAGTACTTCAGACAGTCACAGCAAATATCATTAATACAAATCTATAGAAACGTCACCTGTATCTGGAAGTATTTATATCAATACATTTTTAACCTGATTGTTTATCCTCTCTGAAGAATTTTTCAACAACTCAACAAAATACCACGAATAACATATGTGACCTCTCGTAATAACCAGTATGGAATACTTCAAAAAATATCCATATACGAATCATCTACTATTATACCGCATCAGCTCTCTAAATTTAACATTTAAATACTTAGATGTATATTCATTTGTTTGCCTTGGAAAGTAAGATATAATGTTTAAAAAGTAGTGACTTACAATGAAATTAGTGTCCTTTTGTCCAAGTGTTGTGTTCGAACCGCATTGACACTGTATCACTGCTTTTTTTAGAATGAGATTAATGATAATTTCATAATCTAAACTTTCTTTAAGTAGAAACTTTGGTTGATGGTACTCTAAACGTATTTTTAAGCACCAGTTGTCCAGTAAATAAATTATATGTTCTTTATATTCGTGTATAGTCTTCAAACCAGTAGTCAATGAAGAAGAAGCACTTGATGAATTCGGAACTGATAAATCTGTTGAACTGGTAGAAATTTGAGCTGATAGAATAGTCGATGGTGCATCAGGTATTGAAACAACATTTAAAGATTTTTTTTGTGCTTCTTTTTTAATTTCATTATGTTTCTTGAGCAATGCAGCTTTTAAAATTTTCATCTTGCTTGCAATGCCGGGTAAAACAGCAAATGAATTGTTATTCAGTTTAATGCAAATCTTCTTTTTCAAATCCAATAAATCGTCCGAATCGAAAGAAATAATTTCGAATGGATCGTCACAAGCAAGAAGACACTGTGCATTGGTGATATCTTGAAATTCTAGGAGAGTGGCTAATTTTTCTCCAGAGAAAATTTGAACAAATTTAAAAAAATGATCATTTTCGAGTTCCATTATGTTATCAGGCAAAATAGAAGCGTTATTAGACATTTTGAGAATGAACAGTGAAATGAAAAAAAAAAGAAACAGATATAAATAGAAATGTGTTTACTGAGAAAGACGAAGATGGAAACGAACAGAAACGAAAATGTTTGACCTTCGGTCAGTTATATGAAGAAGAGAACATATAAAACGAGATATAACAGACATCAATAGCCTGGATATCGAGGCTTGGACAATAACTGGTTACTATTTGGTCACATGTCGTTCGGGTACCAAAATGCTTATATCACTATGTGAATCATTCGATAGTATTATATAAAATGACTGATCTTTTTACGACGAATATAATGGAAACGAATGAGGACATGCTACTATTATTTTTATTTTATTTTATTTTCATGTTCAATAATCCCCAATAAATGATACATGTTTTTATAGTGATTTCTGATTTCCAACGATTTCTAGTGATTACTTGTGATTACCAGTGATTACTAGTGATTACCAATGATTACTAGTGATTACCAATGATTACTAGTGATTACCAGTGATTACCAGTGATTACTAGTGATTACTAATGATTACAAATTGATTACTAGTATTAGTAATCAGTTTGTTCCCCCTTGATTTAAATAATACTTTTAGTCAACATCTTTGATCAAAATCTTGAGCGTCATGACGAAATACGTAAAGCGTTCAATTTCATTGAAACAGGTTAAGTTTCAAGATTCGATGTTTGAAAAAATGTTGACATGTACTCATGTTTTAGTGGTTCAGTTTCATACAAATTTGTTCCTATGGTGTGA